CCAAGCCAGTTTTTTGTAGGCTCGCTGTTGCTGGGAAACGTCGCGGCACCCGCACAAAAAAATCTACATTCCATGGATACCTCGAGCCCTGATGCCACCATATCATATTACATTAACGTCTTAAGTCTGTCTTCTAACATAATTATTGCCGCGCGGTACATGTGACTTATTACATTGATTGAGCACGAAATCTCACGGTTTTCCAGCACTAAACCACAGATCGTTTGGTGTGTTCATGGCTTTTCATCGCTTGATAAATGCATGGCGGTGTAACCGCACGCTCAGTCTGCTGGTGGCTGTCGTAGGAGGTGTGTGTCGTGTCCTGACTCTCGTAGCCGACGTCTTGGTTCAGCGTCGCGAAACCATTAGTGGCCGCGTCTTAGTGAATTATTGAACCTAGGACTTATTTCGTTGGCGGAAGAATAACTTAGAAGTTGTGGTGGTTTAATAATTTTTTAAATTAACTTCGGTGTTATTGAAAGAATTTTTATCGGATGCACTTTTTGTATGTTTATAGGGCAATTGAAGAAGAAGCGAGGGTCGTTAAGGAAGCGAGTGTTCAGTTTACGCTAACAGTTTGCAACCGCACGCGAGTGTGCACGTCTGGTCGATTGCAGCTTTCTACGGACACGTTCGTGCGAATTCGTGCGCTGTTATACTCTCTTCGTGACGAACTTTACTGCATGCACACCGGTGCGTGCTGTGTGAAACACATTACGCCCAGAATTGCGCTCACGGTAACACTTCGCGTGCCTGAAATATGAAGATATGAGATTTTATTTCGTGCAAAGGGAATAAAAAATTATTGTGTAAAAAAAAGACTATGGAATAACACACTGAACTAATTCTGTTGATGGAAATAGAACCAACAATAGCAGTGTCAATGTAATAGAGTATCAGGTGAAAGAAAATTTCATTTTCTCGGAAATACGAAATTGGAAACATTCATCGACTTTCAAGTCCAGCTAGTAAACTTTCTGCATTTAAACCAAGCAATATCCTCACTTCACTGCTGGCTTAGATGGGTACGTTCTCAGGAAAATTGTTTCTCTGTATTAGTGTGTGCTTGATCTTTTAATTTTATTTATCTTACGGTAAACAATATTCAATTTCGTCCCTAACTACATGTGTCTTTCTAATTGAAATTTTTAATTATTTAAATTGATAATTTTCCAAAGGAATTTATGTAAATCGTGTATCATGTAGGCAGTGAAATGATCGAATTTAAACGCGCAATTAGCGCTCAGAACTAAGCATGGCGGTTGATTGATCTTGATTTAGTTGTACCGTAACTCTTTTAAAATACTTCGGTGATATTGTACTTGATATTGTAATTATTGGTGATACTGTAATTATTGTTTTTAAATTTTCATTTAAAATACTATCCCTATAAAAGCGTTCTCTCAATTACTCTTATTTGTAAGTGATAAATATCCTGCTACTCATTCATGGGTCACTTGTGTATGGGTTGAACTATCCAAAGTTTTTAATGAGGAACTATTTTATTAATCCCTGCTGTTCTGCAATGGCTGCTCATATTGCTGCTGCTATTCCATGGCTTATACCTCTATTGCTGCTGTTCTATGACTGCATATATTGCTGCTGCTATCGTATGGCTGCTATTCCACGGCTACGTATATTGTTACTGCTGTTCTTATGGCTGCTCATATTGCTGCTGCTATCGTATGGCTGTTATTCCATGGCCACCTATTTTGCTGCTGCTGCTTCATTTCTGCTCATATTGCTGCTGCTATCGTATGGCTGCTTTTCCATGGCCACCTATATTTCTGCTGCTGTTTCATTATAATGCTCATATTGCTGCTGCTATTGCGTATAGCTGCCTCGTATTGAGGCAGCTATACGCAATAATATAATAATAATATAATAATAATATAAGACTGCTGCTATTCCGTGGCTGGCCATATCACTGCTGTTATTCTACGGCTATTGTTGCTGTTGGTGCCACGCCCTCAGCACGCCGAAATGGCACTACCGTCCAAAATGAAGGCGAAATGACGAAGGAAATAACGGGTGAAATAAACGCTCGTTTGCGGCCGCGAGTGAAAGGCGCGTCGCCCCATGACCTCCCGGCCGCCCGCCGGCCCTGCCGCTGCTAACAGATATACAGGAATTGTAACAGACATACAGGAATTGTAACGGACATACAGGAATTGTAACGGACATACAGGAATTGTAACAGACATACAAGAGTTGTAACAGACATACAGGAATTGTACCAGACACAAGAATTGTAACAGACATACAAGAATTGTAACAGACATACAGGAATTGTAACAGACATACAGGAATTGTAACATACAGGAATTGTAACGGACATACAGGAATTGTAACAGACATACAGGAATTGTAACGGACATTCAGGAATTGTACCAGACACAAGAGTTGTAACAGACATACAGGAATTGTACCAGACACAAGAGTTGTAACAGACATACAGGAATTGTACCAGACACAAGAGTTGTAACAGACATACAGGAATTGTAACAGACATGCAAGAATTGTAACAGACATAAATGAAATGTAACAGACATACAGGAATTGTAACAGACATACAAGAGTTGTAACAGACATACAAGAGTTGTAACAGACATATGAGATTGGGTTTTATAGGAATTCCAAGATGGTTGTGTGATGTGAGAGACAATCGTGAACTGTGACGGATGTTCAACATTTGTACGTGCATTGAGGAAATGTTTTGATTGTTGTTCGATGTGAGCTTGTGTGCGTTCTTCAGTTGCGCCCCTATGCTCGAGAAAATTTGAAAGTCTACGGACATGTCATACATTTTTTCAATATCTTCATAGATCTTATTTGATCCATATTATGAATATTTATTCCCAAAAATATCCGTTCATCAGTCAACATTCATTCTGCTTTCATGTACTTACTTCAGATTAACTTGATAATTTAATTTACTATATTTACATTAATTATACACCTTCTACTTTTTCTATCGCGTACAGTTGACGCTTTTTGAGATGAAATTATTTGACATTTCAGATGCAGTTGAATGCTAAATGATTCGGAAACCAATAAATTATTCAACTAATAATTACAATTATTCTTTTTATTCATATATGTATAAATGTATGAAATTCCTGCATGCATTCTCACGCTCAATAATTCATTCAATGAGTGTAAATATGAACAAGTTATCGTCATTTCCGTAGCGGCGTAGTTGTTTCCTCAAGAATTCCTGGCGTGAACAAATTACATCTGATTCATCACAATCGTCAGACGTCAGTACGCCACTGGCCGTGAGTGAGTGAGGTTGTGCGTCGCTGCGCTGAGACTGCCGCCGTGGTTCACCGCTGTAGAGTGAACCCAGTCCGTAATTTCTTCAGGTTCTGTCTAAACCGTGCGGTCGAAAATGTTACGTCGCTCCTGAAAACAAGCCGTGATGTCATGTAAGTATATTTTGCTCGTTCTCATACAAAATTTGTGCCAAGTGGCGCGGAAGCATTTTATGTAAACATGCTATTTACATCGGGTTGAAGGTTTTTATATGAATCCAGTTGAGGCTCAGGTTCACCTGAGTTAGGTACGCTGTCACAACTCGGCTTCTGTAGAATTCCTTCACAAAGTTGGCACAGGAATACATGATATTTCAATGAATACATCGAAGTGTGGTCGAATGATGTCAGGATATTAATTAACTGCGGTATGACGGTGACCTTACAATGACTGCAACTGCAAGTTCGTGCTTCCTATCGAAAAATTGTAAAAAAAAAATTCGGAGACATGGATAAGGACTCGAATATTTTCAACATCTCACTCCGGCTGTGCTACAAATATACCTGAAGCAATATCCTTTATGTATCTGAATTTACACACACATGAAAAAAAAATCGAGGAGAGGCAGCTAAAGCTTGCCAGACGCTCACCGAACGTTTCCTTTGAAGAGAACGTACGAAACTTAGGCATTCTTTCCGGACAGGAAAATGGCCAACCCAGCGGACTATACATGAAACTTTTGAGATAATAAAATTAAATTAGCCGATGAAGGCAATTGTCCGAACACTGTTGCTTGTTTCTTGGATTAAACGCGATACTTTTACGCATTCTTTTTATGAATCCGTCGCCTTTGTTTTTTAGTTGATATTTCTTAGACGTATTGCCTAACTCAAACTCTAGATTCTAGAAAGATAACCTTATTTACACCATGAAGACTGACCTCCCTTGTATCCACTATACTTTCCCTCTTTTAACGTGGGATGTTAACCGTACGTTGCATACATCTTGTCGCATAAATGTTTAACTCGAGCTTAATCATGCATGTTTATAATAATCCAATAACCAACCCATGGCTTAGTAAATCACATAACATGAGGCTCAACTCATATCTGTGGTCTGGGATGTTGCCACCAGCATTACCCAAAGCTGGATAGTTTTTTTTATCTCTGCCGAAGCCTCAAGTTAGCAGCTCTTCCCTGATCTGCCTTGAGATGCTGGTACACCTAGACAGTTGTGGCGGCCTGTAAAGATTAAAGTACCAATGGCCGCTATTAACTGTGTTATTTTCCTCGTGTTGGACGCTAATGGCCACGGAAGGACATAGTAACCTTTGCCACTAGGCTAGTGGTATGATATTGGTCGCATTTAGCAGTTGGAAGTTATACTGGCCGCCTCTATAATTGCCCCCCGTGTACACTCACCTTGCAACACCATTAGTGAGGTTGTGATTTGAGGGATTTCGGTTTGAGGGATTCCTGCTCCCCTATTGAGGTGGAAAATTCCCATCTTTCTCCCCCATTGGCCGAGGAAAATTCCCCATTTTGCTCCTTTCGTTGGACGGCCTATAAAGAAGAGTGACCGTCATTAAATATTTCCGATGTTGATTGGAACCACGCAAAATTTCAGTGGAAATTTCTGAAATTTAATTGATATAGTTGTAATTTCTGCAGCGGCGTGTAGATGTTATAGTTACTATCTTTGTTTTTATTATCATCTGGTAATATTATCTCTGTTATTGTTGACAGATGACAGGCAAGAGGACTCGATCCTTCAAATGCGCCGTCCATCAAACTGACGGAGAAGTGAACTCGCTCACCGACTTCCGTCTGCAACCTCCGTCAACTTCCCTTTTCGACAGGTTAGTTACTGTCAACAAATAATTAGCTGGATGGTTTGTTTCAATCTTCCGCAACACTGCATCTACTAAAAATTGATTTAGTATCCTACCAATAACTGTCAACAAATTTTCATCAAATCTTCAGTGTTTTTTAACAATCGCGTTTGCGATTTCCATTTTCTATTGCTTCGAATTCACTTTATTCGTTGTTTACCAACCATGTATTTGTTTCAGACCTACACCATACTATATTATATTATTTTTTCACATTATTCTACAGTCAATCATATTGAACCACATAGCTTTCAATATTTGTCATTTTCTGCACATCATTTAACTTCTTAATTCTTTCAAATATATTCTTGCTTCAGTTTGTCCTTTACCATCACCCACCTCCCTCCCCCCTCACTGGCTTTACCCTCTAGGATGCCCTCGACTCCAGTCTTGCGTCTGGAGTCGCGCAGACCGCTGCTCCAGAGCCTTGCTCCTGTGCTCCATCTCTGCTCCATGTTCCTTTTTATCCGCTAAATTCGTAGGCTTATTATCTTGTAGCCATTATTCACACTGCGATGTCGTGTTACTTTCTTCGTGTCACTTGCTGAAGCCGCTGCGCTATTCTTTTTTATTTTTCACGTGATATAAGGAAGCCGGCGAGTGCTGCCCTGCTTACCAGCACAATTCCCTTACCTGCCTTTAATTTTCTTGTTACTTCTGATGAATCTTTATTACATTGATTTTCTCTTAATGTATATCGAAGTTTAAATTTGTTATGGTTATTGCGCTCCGCCATTTTCTTGTTTGCAATGCCAATGTTGTATTTATAAGCGTTGTATTAGCTTGTATGATCTTTAGACGAGAGCAAAAACGGTCTTCACTAAACGTATCGGTTGCATCTATGGTCTTCATAGACATGGATGTGTGCGACGTTAAATTCCGATGCAGGATCTCAACTTCAACTATAAGCTATCAAACTTCAGTTTGATATACTATCAATACTATCAATTATACACTATCAACTGTACACTATCAAACTTATTATTGTAGCTCAATCGAGGTTGATGTTATTAGGTCTCAATGTCGATGTGTCGGCTTCCTACCGACACATCGACACTCCCCCCGACACATTTATAACCCCCCCCCCCCGACACATTTATAACCCCCCCTATACATCGATTCACCACCCGCGGGTCTTCCTGTATACCGCGTGCGTGCGACCCCGTGACATTGACCGCTGCTAAGTCGTCCAGGCTGCACTCAAACCTTGCCTGTCTTAACCCCCTCTGTCTGTAATGTTGTTAAGATATTATATAAATATAATACATGTAGCTACATATTAACGCGCCTTGATCTCATTAAGCGATCAGTCGATGGTACACTACTTTGTTGATTCAAGTTGGACTGGACGAAGCAGGTTCTTCTTAAAGTTTTCGTTAGGTTCTCAACTCGACTATGTATATATAATATTAGTAAAGATCATTCATTTTAAATGAAAAAAGTATTTGGAATAAATGCACTCCAGGAGATATTTTATTGATGACACTGGTGGTGATGAGTTTTGGTTGTCCAATTCAATTTAAATCTATTATTGTCCGGCCAGTCTTTTATGTAGATCATCGAAACATTCTGATGGCAGATTTGAATTGAGGATGTAAAAAATTTGAACAACTGGGTTAGAATTAAAAAAACATTAACCTTAATCTTTAATCTGCTAAAATTCATGATGACTGAATAACTGATAATGATGCATATTATAAGCGGTAAACCAATTTATTTACATCAATCATCACTTTGAATTTTATCTTAGGGTTAGTATTAGGGAATTCTTTGTTAGTTGTGTAATGCAACCGTCGTGTTATATATACCTGACCGTACTCTGTTGGTGTTGCAAACCGTCACTGTATCGACCAAGCCGTACGGGCGTATCGACCCCGTATCGTCGATACTCAGGTGTTCGTTTACATCTCAGGTATCGACCTAGGCAATCAATACTCTTCAGATCAGTTCCTTCCTTACACTTCTTTCTAATAATCTTCTCGCACATGGAAGCCGTACACATCATTGCCAGTATAGCAAGAGTTTGCATTTGCATACACTTCGCGTAAATGTATATACACTCCGACCAAATTTTATTCCATTTTTTACAAAATTTAAACGAAAGTGTATTTGTTATTACCGCATTGTTTGTTGATTTCGTGGATTTGAATGGCTCAGCTTCATCTCTGAATTTCTTCTTGCCACTTCTTTCTGAATATGTAAAAGTAGCGCGAGTGAAATGCCGACAGTGTGGTCAACAAGCTACTTTTGCAGCGCCGCGGTCGGCTTTAAATTCCTAATTACCAAAGAAATCCAGTATAAATTATGAAAGGCTGGATAATTGAAGCAAATACTTAGTACTTGGAATTTTTTTACATTATTTCTAAAATTTCTGGCATCTATCGCCGCTCTAACAATCGCTTGGCAAAATTTTGTTTTTGGGAGTTAATCAAAGAAGCCAAGAAAAATGGCCGCCAGCTTTCAACCCCTTGGCATGGGGCAAAGCAAAACGCTTCCTCGGAAACTTTAACTCGGAACGGGGAATGGAAGAGTGACGGGGGGACTTTTGGGGATCGTCTGGGGGAGCTCGGCCTTCCCCAGACGACGTAACAGCTCTGCTACGAAAATGCTGCTCCCACTCCGGTTAGTGGGGGTTCTTAGAGTTCATACTTTTCTTCTTGACTCTTCATGTTCTTGTTGTGAATAAACAGGGTTCAAGTATGTATCATGTTTATTGTTCAGATGTCTTCAGCAATTACACTTTTTCTTGTGTTAACATTTTGTGAACTAAGAAAAATTTGTTCGCTTGCACATGAGGCGATTACAGTATACATCAGTGACAGGATGATAGTTTTACTATCGTTCTACGATACAGTAATGCCATAACTCACGATTACCGAACCAATTAACGATTGACTTAGTAACTAAATGGTAGTATTAGTAGTATTACTCACATAGTACACTCTGAAAGCATTATATTTGTCTCTGATAATTATTCTGAATGGAGAAGAACTTTAAGATCAGAAAATGATTCTTCCAACTATGCAACATTAAATTTCGAATATATATCTCTATTTCATTAACTGAGTGGTGGTACTCTCTGTGCAGGATGGTACGCGTGATAGCTGAGGAGTACCTCGTGGAGGAGCGTGACCGCAAGTACTATGCGGACCACTACACCTGCTGGCCTCCTCCGGTCTTCATACCATTACTCACCATCATACAGGTCAGTTACTGTTGGTACCAGTACGCAGTACCTAAAATAGGTCAGTTACTGTTGGTACCAGTACTTAATACAGGTCAGTTACTGTTGGTACCAGTACTTAATACAGGTCAGTTACTGTTGGTACCAGTACCTAATAACTGTTGGTACCAGTAACTAATACAGGTCAGTTACTGTTGGTACCAGTACGCAGTACCTAATATAGGTCAGTTACTGTTGGTACCAGTAACTAATATAGGTCAGTTACTGTTGGTACCAGTACTACCTATATTAACCATAATGTTAATCGCTAGAAACTATTACTGTGTTTCTTGCTGAAGTATCTTGCCTGTCCACCTATACTTCACTTCTTCGATTCCTTCGTCCGGTTACTTATCCCTCACTCCCAATCCCTCCTTTGTATTCCCACCCCTCCATGCGTCCCAAATTCTGCAGGATTTTCAGGAAGTCCGCTACTTTTTTAGGCAGCTTCTAATGGCGCAATTTGAAGTTTTTTTCCAAAGTACAATGTACAAGATTGGCTTGTTGCCGCTGGCTGCTGCTCGGTATGATCTTAGACTCGAATTTATTATTTCTTTAACCGCTTTTGTCTTGACTTTATCTTGGGTTATGATATGATCTTAGATACCATGTATTGTCAAGAATAGCAATATTTTCTTGGGTCAAAAGTTATCTTGAATAACCTGCATAATGGATATTTCTCTTGTCTTGGTTGCCAATTATTTATTGTCCCCCGCATTATCTAGTATCCCGATGCTGTTCAAGTACCGGTATATTTTTATACGCTAATCATCGCTAATTGAACAGCACGACTTGAATACGCATTGAACAGCACGACTGTTCAATGCGTACGCTGGGGGGCATATACGCTTGCGGTTGTACGTCACACATCCGTCGTATCCTTGTGTGTATACTCAAACTACTCATCTTTGTTTAATCCTCTATGTTAACTGCCATGATGTAAAATGTATTTTTCAAGTGTGTTTTTTAGTTAAATTGATTCTCATTTTTAGTAGTGAAATTCGTTCTATGCGTGTGGTGCAGGGCGCGTGTGTGCGTGCAGGTGCGTGTGGTGCAGGGCGCGTGTGTGCGTGCAGGTGCGTGTGGTGCAGGGCGCGTGTATGCGTGCTGGTGCGTGTGGTGCAGGGCGCGTGTAGGCGTGTGCATGCGTGTTCGTGTTCGTGTGTAGTTCAACACAGCGACCGCGGAGGTTGGTTTTTAGGGCGGGGTCACGGGGGTCATGAGACGGTAGTAAAGGAGTTGCTTTAAACCCTTCCCCCTACACCTCCCTCACCCCTACTCTCTCACCCCTTCTCTCTCACCCCTTCTCTCTCACCCCTTCTCTCTCACCCCTTCTCTCTCACCCCTTCTCTCTCACCCCTTCTCTCTCACTCCTTCTCTCTCACCCCTTCTCTCTCACTCCTTCTCTCTCACCCCTTCTCTCTCACCCCTTCTCTCTCACCCCTTCATGGTGGCTGCCACTGCTGGTGGCTGCCACTGCTGGTGGCTGCCACTGCTGGTGGCTGCCACTGCTGGTGGCTGCCACTGCTGGTGGCTGCCACTGCTGGTGGCTGCCACTGTTGGTGGCTGCCACTGTTGGTGGCTGCCACTGCTGCTCTAGACCAGACAATATCGTAAGTGTCACGCTGTGTCGTCCTCTGGGATCGCCGCCCCCGTGCGGTGCCCCACCACACACCCCGCGTCGTGGGGACACAAAGATTATGTTTTGTTATGGGAGGCCCGTGTTGATGTCCCCAGGTCGGGGTAATAGGGCGCGCCCGTTTAGTATTACCTTAATTGTATGAGCATCGAAACGCGGTACTTATAGAGTACGGTAAGATTAGTACAGTACTCATTAGTATTCAGTATCCAGATGTATATAGCACTCTGATATTTAGTACTCAATACTCATTGGCATTTAGTACGTACTGCCGTAAATATTCTTACGCCTATTTTAGCGCATTTTCTCATTTATGGAAAAAAACGCTATTGTGCTCGTCATGTTCGCCGTCTGTCTGTCTGTCTGTCTGTCTGTCCGTGACTTCACATTTGCGTCGACGAGAAAATGCGCTCTCTGTCACTCACTGCAGTGAGTACTGAGTTATATTTTTTCCCCATGGCTACCATGGAGAAAAATATGCGAGAAAATGTCGCTACTGGGTTCGCTCCGTCGGTATCATCGTCGAGATGATACGCTGGATGTTTCATTGGAATGTATTACGACGGCTTGGACATTTGTATGTAATATATATGTTTCTCCTTAATGATATATGTGTTGAGACACCCGCATGTATTAATGCGCGTTAACGATGGTGAAAATGTTATTACACTTTGTTCGGAGCGACACCTCTAACTGTTGTATTCATTAGGTAGGAAGAAATTAATTACTTAGGTTTTACATGAGATAAAAACTGAATTAAATAGAAAGGTATAACGACTAGAGTCGTTAGGCATAGCAGCTGAGGTGAGGCTGTTTGAATATGCAGCGTGACCGTGTCAGCTGAGATGTTGACGTAGCATGTGCGCTCACTATATAGACACGCGATATATAGCTTTATATAGTCACGTGATATATAGCTAAGTTATAGCTTATGTCTGTAGTTTATAGCTTGAGCTATTGCTTATGGCTGCTATTTGTCGTTTAAGCTGTGGCTAGTGGCTGTAATTTATGGTTTATGCCATAGCTTATGGCTGTAATTTATGAATGGTGCCATTGCTTATGGCTGTAATTTGTGGCTGTTGCTATAGTTTATGGCTGTAATTTGTGGCTGGTGCTATTGCTTATGGCTGTAATTTATAGCTGAAGATATAGCTTTCAACTATAGTTTATTCCTTTGAAATTTACGCCACATCACTCGTTCTTGTATTGTTTCAGAACCTTCTTGTTCACATATATTTTAATTTGTTAGTGTTTAAAAAGTATGTGATGTGTTTCCTTGGTGAGATGTGCGACATGCGAGAGCTACGCCTACTTTTTATCTGTGCTCATCCTACGCTTATATGTGCACGGTGCTTATACGTACACGGTGCTTATACGTACACGCACGCCGCGTGTTAGCTGTACACGCCCAAGTTATACGCTCCTTATACGCTCCTTATACGCTCCTTATACGCTCCTTTTTAGACGAACTGCGAGTCTGGCACCAGCCGTGCCTCTCTTCTGTATAACCCCATAAAAATAATTTAGCCCCATTAATCCTAGAGCCCATTAAAATAATTTAGTCCATTCACCCTTGAGCCCTATTAAACAATTAAGCCCTATTTAACCCTAAGCCCAATTAAAACAATTCGGCCCTATTAACCCCTGAGCGCAATTAAAAACAATTCAGCCCCATTAACCATTGATACCAATTAAAACAATTCAGCCCTATTAACCATTGAGCCCAATTAAAACAATTCAGCCCTATTAACCTTTGACCCCCATTAAGACCTTTTATCTGCATTAAAACCCTTGATGTGCCCGTAACTCGTTACATTTGTTGTTTTGTTTCCGATTCCAGGAAGTTCACTAATTAACTGAGCTAACTTTATTAGTGTTCAAGTTTCAACTTTCATTAAGTTGCCAGCTTAAAACATATTGCGACCTCTCAATCTCCAGAGAAAATATTACAGTATATTAATACAGTGTACAGTGTATAATACAGTGTATTATACAGCGTATAATACAGTGTATACGTAATATTACAGTGTATTTTACACGCGTATTCATTATCTTTCGGTTGGAATAAAGCACGACAGGTTAGCAGGTTACTGATGTTCTGAGACCAGACACTTGATATATGAACAAGGTTCAAGCACGCCCCTGATCTTTATCATGGGCGGGTCATCGGTGGCCAACGTTTGAACAGGTCTAATATCGTACAGGAAAGCACTCCAGACCTGGCATTATATGGACAACGCATAGGTTATAGTAGGCCTAAGCTGGCCAGATGACGTAGTCTTGTGTGGGCTCAACTATGTCGTGATCTGGACCACACACTTTAGTGATCTTGATACTTGTAGATTAATGCGATCTAGAAGGAACTGCGGGATCTAGATCTAGCGCACGAGTTTGAAGCAAATCATTGTGAATCGATGGGGTCTAGATCGTTGTAGATTTCTGTTATTTTAAATTTTGTTGGTTATCGAAAAAGAAATTTCTTTGAATAGAATCCTGGAAAATATTTAGTTTGTTATTATTACAAACTTTTTATTATGACAAACATTCCCACAATTTACTACGCACTTTTTAACGCTCATGTCCGCAAGATATTGACACAGTTTATCTGTATACTTTATGATACACTCCGCACTCGGTCATGCTAGGCGGCCACGACCGTAGGTGTGGTCTTCGCTTGTTCAGTTTTTTCTTCTTTTGTTTTGATTTTTTTTATTCTTGGCTCTGAAAGTTCCCACGACCGCCGGCGCCGCTCGTGCCCGCGTGACTCACTCCTCCTCCCCATGGGGATGGGGGCTCCCCTCCTCGCCCTCCTATCCTTTATTTGGCTTCCTCCCCTCATGGGTTTAGTGGCGCCCATCACCGCCCTTGCCTTCCTTATTAGGCTATCCCCCCCCTCCCTCCTCCCCACAAGGATGGAAAGTTGTCCCCGCCCGCCTCTCGCTTATTACTTCCCCTCGCCCCCCTTCGTGGGAACAGAGCCGCCCCCTCCCTCGGGTTCGAGCCTCCCTCTCCCTCGGGTTCGAGCCTCCCCCTTCTCTCGCGTATGTAATTTATATCGAGGATGCGCGTGGCGGAGAGTCAGGTGGCGGATGGCGGTCGGTGACCAGCTGTCGGACCCACGGCCGCCATCTGCGCAACGGCGCGCGCGTGTACCTGCTGTGCGCGCTGTGCACCAGTCCCAGCTTACTGGGTGCGCGTACCTACAGGAGACGAATGTTATTGCTTGCACTACGCGTACTGTAATCGCGCGCTCGTTTGTCTGATTACTAATGTAAAATGTTATATAACAGTTACGGGTGCAGTTATATAACAGTTACGTGTCCAGTTATATAACAGTTGCGTGTCCAGTTATATAACAGCTGGTGGTCACTTGTCTCCCAGCTGCCAGTGACCCTCGGGTCACGTGACCCGCCGCGACCTGTCTGATTTCACCTTCTCTTGATGCCACCTGTTCCGATGCCAGACGCCCCAGCAGTTAACAGTGACCCGAGGGAAAAAAAAACATTTCCACCCACCAGTTCAGTTTTCAGTTTTTCAGTTTTTAGTTCAGTTTTTCCACCAGTTTTCCACCCACCAGTTCAGTTCTGCCATTTTATTATGGTGGCCGTGAGTGTTGCGATGCTCAGCAGTTGGTGTTTCGCGGCCGCGTTTGTTACGGCCGGAATAAGCCGTAGCAATTTTTTGATGAGGTTAACTGGCCGTAATTTGCTTCGAGTTTCTGGGTGTAGATGTGGGACCGACAACGGACCTCGATCAAGATCGCGCGCGCTTCATCACACGCGCACACCTGGACATTTGATCGAGATATGTTCGGCTGTGTTTGGTTCAGTTAATATTTTATCTGTGAAATATGTGAAGTTTAGTCAAACGCTGTTCAGATGTGGCAACCCGTACTGAGTTTAAGTTAAGTGGCGTCAACCTATAACAGTTGACATTCAGTTGGCGTCAGTCAACCATAAAGTTTTCTTTCTGTTAGCGGATTGAAATAGCTATATCAATACGCAACAAAATTGCCATTTGTAAACCTATCTGCTCAAAGTGCACGATAGCTTCATTTTAATTTTCACCATGTACACCGAAAATTTTCTTTTATGTGCTCAATGTGCACTATAGGTTTACTTTAATTTGCACATTGTGTATCTAGCTTTCGCTAAATGGAGGGAGGGATGTCGACGAGCCTGCTGAAATTTGAACAATGTTCACAAAAATATATTATTACCGTCTCGTAGACTATTACAGTTATTTCCTTCAATTTGCAGTGTGCAACACGACATTGCACCATGCGAATATGGCTACGGTCACCTTGCGTTTCTTTTTATTTGACACTACGCATCATAACTTTCCGTGTTGCAGATCTGACTGTGTAAACTTTCTACTCGCACAGGTTGACTTTCTGTTGACCTCTGACCCCTTAACGGGGCGGGGGTATTGTTCTCACACCTGTCGCTGTGTGTGTATGTGTGTGTGTGTGTAAATTTTATTCCGTGGGCGATGTTTGTGTTCAAAGTGTGTACATTTTACGCTTGTGCTATTAATTATCACCCTTTTTTCCTACATTTATTACTCTCTATTAATTTTTAAATAACAAAATTAGGTTTTTCGCTTCCGGCATTCAATCGTTAATCTATAAATTTAATTTTCATGGGAAAATAATACCACTTTCAGTTTCGTCTTCAATATTATTGATATATTTTTTTATTTCTAATTTGGTCCTAGAATTAAATTCCGGGAATTCTTAGAGCTGCGGTGCCAGACGGATGGTGTCTGCGGGGGCTATTTCTGTAGACCGGCACATGTTTCATGTAAGCAAGTGGCTATGGTGGCTTCATTTCGCCGAGCTTGTCTCTGCACTTGCTTCATGCGCTGAAGTCTTCATGTTTAAATAAAAGTTGCAGGAGTATTGTTTATCTTTAAATGTATTCATACAAAAGTTGCACGAGCATCTGTTGGTTTATCACTAAACTTATTCATTTTCTGCGAGCAAAGTCAAAGCAAAAATTCCTTGATGGCAAACTCGAACTATTTAATTAATTCTGTGATATCCAGTTTTCATTTTCTTTATTATTACACGATATTCGACACCGCGCATTTGCACTGAGAACTAAGAATGCAGGTAATTCGTACATGGCAATTACAAGCAGCTTTTCCCTACATCCGACGATGTGTGTACTGTGTAGCCTCGTGTGGGTGCATTGCAGCTATGATCTAAGTTATATTTGGAGCCTGCAAAAACGTCCTAACGCCGGCACATTTAATGTGTAAAAAATTATGTATGGTTTGTAGGCAGTTAATTAACATCGATTAAATTTTGAACCTGCAAAGACGTCCTGACCCCGGCACATAGAATGTGTAAAAATTATGTATGGTTTGTAGGCAGTTAATTAACATCGATTAAATTTTGAACCTACAAAGACGTCCTAACGCCGGAAAATATATTGTGTAAGAAATTATGCATGGTTTGTAGGCGGTTCACATGGATTAAATTTTGAACCTACAAAGACGTCCTAACGCCGGCACATTTAATGTGTAAAAAATTATGCATGGTTGTATGCGGTTAACATCGATTAAATTTTGAACCTACAAAGACGTCCTAACGCCGGCATGTGAACTTGATGAGAAACTGTGTATGGTTTCTTGGAGGTTAGTCATCGGTTATATTAGGAACCATGCGTTTTGACACCAGCACAAAATATTTAAAATAATTAAATTATATCACTGGCCTTTTTTAATTCCCGGTGTTGTTTGGTCTAATTTAAGAATATTTCATTTCGATATGAGAGAGTTTAACCTCTTACACCGCTTGTGTCGTCACCTGAAGACATCTATGTATAATGCAGTATACCGTCTATGTGCCTCTAGACCCACTTTGTGTGCCGCTGTAGACCCTGTTTATGTGTCTGTAGACCCTCTATGTGCCTCTAGACAGTGCCTGTATCGCTGTAGACCCTGTATATGTGTCTGTAGACCCTCTATGTGCCTCTAGACAGTGTCTGTGTATCGCTGTAGACCTTGTATATGTTTCTGTAGACCCTCTATGTGCCTCTAGACAGTGTCTGTGTAGACCTGTAGACCCTGTATATGTGTCTGTAGACCCTCTATGTGCCTCTAGACAGTGTCTGTGTAGACCTGGCAAGTCTCTCGAATTGCTGCTACGGCGCCGCGCTGCACTAAAAGAATAGAGCGGCTTCTATTTATTTCGTTGTCACTTTCCTCCACCGAACATTTGCCGCACCAAGTATGGAGATACTTGTTATTCCAATACTTGTTTGTCTGCGTATTATTATCTCTCGATAACGAGTCTTAAGTAACTTGCAACACTGGATCCGCGCGAGAAAAATTTAATCTAGCAGAGATCGGATTTTCGGCTGATTAATTGTACAGTTTTGACAGGGCCTCGTTTATTATCTTTCCTGGTGAATTTTATTGAAACTTTCATTAATTTTTTCCAGCAATTCCTAAATTGAAATACTATTTCTGATTTTTTATTGACTTCTTTTATTAAATTGGCCGGGTTTTCGCATGCGCACAAGCCGCTGCCAGTCGACGTTGTTAGAACACAACGCTTTGATACTCAAGTGACTCAAGAAGCATAGGATGCAACCACCGCAGTTCCTAAACTCATTCACCTCTGCGTGAGCTTGCCGTGAGTAACGACGCGTGTCTTGCTGAGTAATTACGACACTGCGTTGTGTTGTACAGGGTTTTCCGTCGACCTAGAAATCGATTTTTGTGTAAATATTATTCAGGAACCTGCGTAGTTCAATTAGTGCCAGATTGCATCATTTTAACGCGTAAACTCCGCTGCCTCATTTTATGTTATCTGATTAGTTTTAGTAAACGCGATGTAAATGTCACTCAAATGCAAAATATTCATGGCAATATATGTGTATGCGAGGTAGTTCCGTGCAGGAGCATGTCTGATGCCCTTATTTAATTAGGAGCTACCTGTCGCTAATGAGGTTGTCCGCTCACGCTCAGACGAGCTCGAACTCCCATGCAACGTCACGAGCCATCGTCTCCTGCAGCAGCTTGATCCCTTGCCTCCTACGTCTTTTCTTATCCGTCAAAACAGCAAAAATGAATACTGAACCAACTTCTTTTTAATGCACTGACCTGAAAATATTACTATATTTATTAATGTGTTGTAACTTGTTATTAAATTGTTGTGGTTGTTCCAGTTGGCGGTGTTCCTGTACTACACAGTAACCGGGCAGCTGTCGCCCGACGCGGTCATGCCGCTTGACGCTTCCTTCATCTACCGTCCTGATTGCCGCTCGCAAGTCTGGCGCTTCGTGCTGTATTCTCTACTACATGTTGGGTTAGTTTCCCAACATTATCGTGCGTTGAGAACTTGTATTTCTTTGTTAAAAATTGACGTCAAAGTTAGGAATTCAAATGAACATTATTAAATCATTTGAACCGATTTCATGCAGTGTTATCACAAAAAGTTCTAATGCAAGTTTTGTCAAATTTATCCATAAAATCAAACGTCAGAAGTTGGTTCTAACATTCTGTACCGACAGGTGGGTTCACTTGACGTTCAACCTGCTGGTGCAGCTGGTGGTGGGGCTGCCCCTCGAGATGGTTCACGGGTCCATGCGAATAGGAACCATCTACGTCGCTGGGGTACTGGCGGGTTCGCTGGGCACCTCCGTGTTTGACTCGCACGTGTACCTGGTGGGGGCCTCTGGTGGGGTGTACGCCCTCCTGGCTGCCCACCTCGCCAATGTCCTCATAAACTACCACAACATGCAGCTGGGGGCGCTGCGCCTGCTCGGTGTTATTGTTATCGGTTAGTTGGAGGCATTTTTGCTGGAGAATAGCGGACATTGTTGTCGGTGGAAGGGGGAAGCATTGTCGGTGGGTAGAGGACATGGTTTTTGGTGGACTGAAGGGCATCGTGGTTGGTGTATGAAAGCATTGTTGGCGGTGATTAGGGAGTATCAATGGGGGAGAAGCATTGATTTTCCTGTGGTGGAAGCATTGTTGTCGGTGGGTGGGGTCCACGTTTCCCTTCATGATTAAGCCAATAATGTGTGAAATTCTTCCAGACCATACTCCAATGATCCACAGGCTTAGAATTTTTCACACAAGTTCGCGTCTGATGCTTTTCAATTTGTTCGATAAAACATTATAAATCGTATTCAGGGATGACACGTTATACATGATAAATCGTATTCAGGTCAGACACAACTCTAAAGTACGCTTTTAATTTCAGCAAGTGCGGACGTCTCGTACGCCATCTACGACCGTTACGCCCGTCACTCAACGGGCCTCCCGGTGTCATACTTGGCCCACATCATGGGTGCCGTGGCAGGCCTCACCATAGGCCTAGTTGTCCTCAAGAATTTCTCCCAGAAGCTGCACACGCAGCTCTGCTGGTGGATCTGCCTCGGCCTCTACGGCGCCTGCTTTGCTTTCGCCATCCTCTTCAACCTCCTGCACCCTTACCCATACGACGGCCTAGTGCAGAGGTTTCCTTAAGACCTTACGACCTTTCGTTTCTAGTTACGTTATCCTTACGACGTCCTAGTGCAGTGGTTTCGTTTCTATTTACGGTACACAAATAACTGTCTAGTGCAGTGGTTTCGTTTCTAGTTACGGTACCCAAATGACTGTCTAGTGCATAGGCTTCGTTTCTAGCTACGGTACTCAAATGATGGCCTAGTGCACTGGTTTCGTTTCTAGTTACGTTCACACGAAGCTAGCTTCGTATTGTTGACTTTTTAGTCGTAATATAACCCGAGCCGGAACAGTGCGGATGCTGTGAGTTTTCATCGTAATGCACGCATCAAAATTGGAAAAGCCTGATTATTCTAGGTGCTTGGTACCAAAGATGGGATTATTGGAGGTCAGTATGTCTTTTTTCATGTCGTCTATTGATGATTTGATTAGGTCTATTGATGACCTAATGATTGTCGTCTATTGATGATTAGGTCATGTCGAGACGTCCTTCTGCTCCCGCGCTCCCGTTACTTTTGTTATCATTGTTGTCAGTGAAATGGATATATATTTTTCTATTTATAACAAAAATGATAAGTAGATTATTTAAGTAAATTTTAAATCTTTCCTTTCGTGGTTTCCTTGTAAGATTATTTGTGCGGTGTGTTGTGCGAGGGTTACTTTGTATATCTCCTGCACATACATTGTGTTCCTTTGTGTTGATTTCGTCGGTGTTACTGAGATGTTATTCTCTATTTCTGTTCTTTCCATTTTATCTTTTATGTTAATTCTTTTAGCAGGTATTGATACTGAGGCTTCAACTTGGCTTGAATTTACCTTTATCAATGCTCATATTTTTAACCTATATTTTTTTTTACTAAATTTCGCGGTTTTCAAAGGCTATTGCGTGGAACGATGTATGTGGTTAACACTAACAATAACATGCCTTTCGTACCTACGACCCATAGCGCCTATTACGCCCATTGACCCACGGTTCTCATATCTTATCCTCGGAGCAGCAGTTTTGATTATATTAAATTTGTTGCGTTTATTTTGTGTCGCTGCCTCAAATCCTTTTCTTCATCTATTCTGGAAGAATTGAATTGAAAAATGAAATTTAAAATGGAAGATTCATTGGATGGAAATCCGATGAATCTTCTGTTTTACTTCTTCCGACTTCCCATAATCTTCCAATGGGTGTAATAAAACTGTGTATTTTATGCTATTTATTTTGTGCTCATTCAATTTTTTATTTGGAATGCAATTGGACTCTCAAGTTTATCGTGATAATTTCTTCCCTCGTTAAGCCTCTTTTTTTTTTTGTTAAAAACATAGGTATGTCGTTGGTTCTCATTGAGCGTCATTTAACACAATGTTTCTGTATTGACTTAATTTGTTTTTGAATTCGCTGCACTAATTCAACTCACCGGTTTCGTTGCCTTATTCGAAAATTGATTGCCCGTTATTGGTTAGATTCATTTCTGTCGCACTTGCAGTTGCCTGGTTCTTAAATATGGTCTAAATGAGCTGGATTTCCTGTTTTTCATTCATTTTGCTTTAACTCACTAGCCCACAGTTGTCTTGTGCACCGGCTGTGTATATTTGTGTACCAAATGTTTTTCCGATTATCGTGACGGTTTTGTGTGTGTGAATGTGTAGGAATGAAAAACGTTCCTCTGACTCGTACGCGGGATGTTTTTTGTTGAAACTGAACCTGGCGAGTCACAAGAAGTGCCATTTCCTGATATCGTGCCTGCCTCGCTACCAAATCTTCTTGCTATATTTCATGTAATTATCCATTAAGTCTAAGTGTAATCTAACGCCGCTCGAATAACTCGCATTCATATTTCTGTTTCTAACTATTCACCGAAAAAACGACGCTGTGGAATGGGCCGGATTTTACATTATTACGCGTTTGTCAAAAAATTATCTCTTTTGTTGCACGTTTTATTCGGATTCGGATAAATGCACGGTTATTAGGAATTCATTCATTGTAAAATATTTCCTTAGAAGATTCCGGAACTCGAACGTGATTTATCACGATTGGGAAATTGGAAAACTCGTTTAACATTTATTCGGCGTGTTTAATAAGTAAAACAAATACTAATTTTATTACGGAATTGTGCACATTACAGTTGAAGTGTGTAGCTCAAGCAGCAAGTGTACTTGTAAAGAAGAATAATCTAGTGGCCTTCTTTAGCGCTTGATGTATTAACTGCTAAGACTAGACTTAGTAGCTGCTAACCTAACGAACCAGTCCCCACAGTAGAGGTTGTAAATCACGGCAGGTAATCTTTATAGTTATTATTGTCGTAAACTTAAAATTGTTCGGCTGCGTGAACTGTTGATGATATTGAGAACTGTCGTCTATAACGTGAAACTACAGATTTTCTTAGCCTAATTTTCAAAAGTTGTAAACATTTCTCCAATTGTTTGGCTATCTGCTTAACCTTGGTGTTTACGAATTCTGATTTTACAATTCATTCGTAAGAGATAGAATTTTTATTTTATTTCATGTAATCTACATTTTAACTCCTACGACACTTTTTAATGATTGACGGTTGAAGCTGTACGTGCCAGTTTAATTCAAGCTAGGCAATGTATGACTTATTTGAGAACATATTGTATTCCAAGCTCTACTTTCCCAAATTTAAACTTATTGCTTTCATCTTGTTACTTTATTGATTTCAGAATACATTTGACTTTATATTAGTCGGCCGAAAAGAATCTCGTTAACGATTTAGCATCATTCCATTTGTGCCCATCTTTATCTTAATCTCTACTTAGGTTATTCCATTACGCAGTTATCTGTTTTCCTTATCAATAACCAATGCTTCTGCCGTATCCGCTTCCCGCTTATTTCTTCTCATCAGTTCCTTCATCTCACCTTTCTCTAATTACATATTCCTCCATTAAATTTTCGTACTCGTTAAAAATCTTTGGATTATGCTGAATTGTCATATCATTTGAACTGTCTGAAATCATTCCTCGCTGAATAATTTGTGTGGTCACGTCTTGAAATTTCTGCTATGCTTCTCGTCGTCGCACGCTAGTCACGATGTCGAACTCTGCGTACGTCTGCAACTGAGCCCTCTTGTTCGCTTCTGGTTTCGTGCTCTTGCTTCTTATTCCAATGGGGAAATTTATACTAAATGTTTACTGGGTTTCATAGTTGGGGGACCCGAAAACGGGCACCATGATTCTTTTTGAACGGGGTAGTCTATCTCACGTAAAATTGTACTTGATAGCAATGGCTGCGCTGGTCACGTTGACTCTTAAGTAGACAGCGAAGCAGGCATCGGCTTAAGTTAAGAATTCGATCTAGTCTTCTCATTAAGCTTTAACGCGTCGTCGTTAAGTTGTACATACGCTTACGTACGTCAATACCGAAATCCGTTTATTTTTATACGTTACGGCGATGTCTAGTTTACGCATAGTGGAGTCTTTTGAAGGCTTGATTTTATCCTAATGAATTTACAAAAGAATATCATTTCCAAATAATTGATGACAGTAGAAATAGTATCATTCTACATGAAAATTTTGTGTATTGAAAACCTATCTTGTATCGCAAAATTGTAGAAATGAGTAAAGAGAATAAGCTGAAACTTGATCTACTTGTCATGCTTGATTTTCTGTATTTTGGTGCAGCATAACTTCAATAAAATGAAGAACATGAATGTGTTTCAATTCTTTCCTTTGCTAAGTGCTTCAAACTCCAACAAACATTGAAGCGCTTTTCTCCTGATAATCCTCTACTTTAATACGAAACCACGATAGGGATAATAATACAAAAGGTTGGTCTTAAAGTGCAACTGTCACTTGACGATAAGGATCACTTAAATGGGTAAAAACTTGTGCATTTGGGACAGAAGACGCGTACGTTATCTTGTAAGTAACATTGTGCTGGATAATGGCACACGACAAGTCGAACAGAACGAAATCCTGCACTCACTTCGAGCATTAAACGTTAAAGTCGCTAATCACTTACAGTTGAAGACTTTCTGACCAATTCTTATACTTAGCAAAAAATACCACTTTTTTCAGTTTTACGAATAATAAACCTTTGCCAAGACGCGCTCAAGAGACCGTTATACCATGACACCAAATCATATCAAGAAGTTATGTACGTGTATTTGACGTCATGTACGTCTATTTGACGTTATGTACGTCTATTTTACGTAAGGTACGTCTATTTTACGTCATGTACGTCTACTTTACGTCACGTACGTCTATTTGAAGTCATGTATGTCTATTTGAAGTCATGTACGTCTATTTGAAGTCATGTACGTCTATTTGACGTCATGTACGTCTATTTTACGTCATGTACGTCTATTTTACGTCATGTACGTCTATTTGACGTCATGTACGTCAACGGAAGTCTTGAGGTACACACAAAGACTTTAAGACACTCGGGTACACGCGACAAATATTCAATGAGAATAACATCAGAAAATACATGGTATTGGTTATAACATAGATGGGGAAAGACTATTTAATTGACGGATACCCAGCTCCGTGTAGCTAAGCTATCACTTGCATAACATTCATTGTTCTAAAGCAACTACCGTAATATGGTGCTAACTCTACAGTATTACTCTATAAAATTACATTTTATATTCTGAATTCATTTTCAAGATTTAAGTAAAATAATTAAAAGATGATCATCTAATAGTTTAGTTTAGTGACCCTATGATTACTAGCGCTTCAAAATCATCTAATAGAACATCTTATGAAATCTGTAAGTGAAATGCAATAGGATGTACCTTGGCGAATTTGAATTTAACATTGATAATAAAAATGAATCTAACAAGAAACATATATCAGAGTTGTGCATTTCTAAACTGTAATTACTAATATATAAGTGACTGTTGCTGCCTGTGCAGTTAATGGCACAGATAACATTCAACACACAACATGAAAGGGTACACCTCTCAATAAAATTAACGAACATTGTCACTGGTACGAAGATACAAACGTGAAATACAAATATCTCATACACGACAGAAGTATCCATAATATAGATGACTCAGGTTACGTTACATAAAAGAGAAAATTAATCGCGATGAGTGCAGATGATCTAAACGTACGGACATAGTTCTTTGATGTAGCTTGCATATCTAAAAAGTCAATTAGAGATATCGTGACAGGGAGTATAGAAAGATCACAACAAATCTACGGCAAATTTAATCCAGTTTACGTTGACGAGTCTAGAACTTGAATAAATTCACTGTGAGTCGTCATAAATTTCAACCCCTATAAATAGAGATAAGACGATATCATTGCAGACAGTAATAAGTGTTATTAAATTTGTTTTAAAGGTACTTTCACACTGCAATTGAGACTTAGTTTAGATAGACTATAACACTATTATAATATAACAGTAAGAGCACGAGGAAGGCAGGTAAGGGCACAGGAAAGTAGGTTCACTGTAAGAGTGACCATTTTTATCTAAATTATACATCCAAGTTAAAGTGATGCGACCAGATGAATTTTGTAAATGCACTGTAGATATGTAGATAACTGGTAGAACAAAATTAGTTTATTACAATAGGATGTTCAGAGTTCTAACCAAGCACTTGAGTTAATATCCAGTTTAATACGACAGCACGAAAAAATCTTCCTTAAAATTATTCTTTGGCATAGGTACTTTAGACGAGCTCCAGACAAAGTCGTCGCTTTCATATCTTTCGTATTTAATCCGGCTGATTATTCAATTTCTCTCTTAGAGTCCCTTCCAGCCTATGATGCTAATAAGATTCAACTAGTTAGTTTCACGAACAAATGAATATTTATCCGAATGTATAAGCGATGAAACAAAATATTGTAAAAGTTTAAAGGAAAATCGTTACCGGAGTTTGTAAAAAAAAAAATCCAATAAAAACTGGTCTGAAAATAAGGAAATCTTATTGATGTGACATTTTCCCCGATATCATGAAAGTTGTATACGATTAATACGAATTAACTCCAACTAATCACCAGAAACCCAAAGAGCCGAAAAGGCATAAATTCGGCCTTACAGGTTGCGTGTCACCGATGTTCTGGGCATTCAGCAGGAAACGATTAAAAAAAACAATTTAGGATTTTAGTACTCCTTCAAAGAGCTGTGATGGGGGGTTAAATCTCTTCAACAATATTCCAACAATCATTATTGCCAACTCAAACCACCGATCGGGAAGAGATTTGGTATGCAATAGTACCAGTCGGGTGCACGGTCCACCTAATTCTCACTTGTGCCAGTAGAAAATAATGATTGGTCTTTCTTTGAAGCCTGAACAAATAAATTACTACAAAATAGACTATTTTTAGGCTTTAAAAGTCGGCCATTGAGAAGAATGATGATTAAACTGGTTCTACTTCTACCTGACAAGAGAATACATTAACACCATTAATGGCCACATCGGAGATCCAGTGCATAGGGAAAGTCCTTAGGGTAATATTGTCGGGAGAATCGCATAGTTGCGAGGATACGTTTAGTCTATTCTAAAACCATAGGCAAATTACGGACACTTTGAGAGGCCACCCATAACATGCCGGAAATTTTCAGGCGTAATATAGATCAGTGCTGCATAATTGGTCATTGCATTGGAATTTCAGAGCCGACGTCTAAACCCTCTACCGCCTGACATGAATAACCGGAGCAATATTGTCACAAGCCTACTTCCCAAAAAGGATACGTTGCTAGTGAGCGAAAAAATGACTTGCACTGATGGTTGCCGCCACGTACGACAACTTTAAAATGTTCTCTGTTGCGTACAAACGTCCTCAGGTTGCTACAATCAATAGTTTACGTATAATTTAAGTTGAAAGTTACGTATGTTCCCGGAGAGTGACACACGGCGGTAGAGGGTTAACAAAAAAATATCACATCATTGATATTTCTTGATGGCATTTTCGTCTTGTACTGTTCTTGACGAGTTGATATTAAAGCATTAGCAAAACAGCAAACAATACCTACACAATCAGTTGGATACCGTTCAATTACATTGATTTACGTTCAACAGAGGTTTCTACCACACAAGAATACTTTAATACTTGAAATTATTAAATATTAGTGGATTCATCAGACCTCTGGCGGCTCAAGTTCGAACAACGGCCTTCGGATAAACGATCATCTTCATCGATATTCGACAGGGTTTCTTCAAAGAAAGACGCTTCCCTTAATTGCTTTATCCTCATTTCTTCTCGTGGATGATAGTCGCAGACATACTGAGTGGCGAAGTAGGTTTCTTCATGCTCCACACGCTCTCCGGTCATAGGATCGTGCAACTTGCTGCAAGTGACTCCAAACTCATGGCCATCTTGAGCATCCAAGTTAGAGCGATAGGAAGCAAGAAGTTCAACCTGTTCCAGAGTTACTGAATCTACTCCAGCGACAGCTTTCTTTCCGGGATACATGTCTCCGGCAAAGGAGCATTTTTCAAAATACACATCAGTTCCATCAAGTGATTTTTCAGGCGTGGTTTCAACATCTTCGAAATCTTTGCTCTGAAACTCATCGGGGGGCTCAAGCACACGGCAAAATTCATCACTGAGGAAGTCATTTTTGGAAACATCGCAGACCTCATGAACTACCTCGCCCCCTTCTTCGTTAACGCACTGGAGAAGATTCGATGACCCTTGAACGGTAATGACATTGCTTATCACCGGCGTGCACATGTTACTTTCATCATTACCGACGCAGATGTAGGAATCATGCTCTTGACAACTTACCGGCATCATTTCCGGAACAGCTATCGAAAGATCGCCATCTTGGGCGTCAGCTTCGTACATTTCAAGATCTTCTGTTTCTTCCATCTCTTCTGGGATGGAGTGCTGGCCAATGATAAGTTTAGATCTGTGGAGCCTGAAGGACTCTTCTTGTTTCATAAGGTGTTCTCGAATGTTTGTGACTTCAGACTTCACTTCGAGCATGTTGTGCACAATTTGCTTCACAATTTTGTCTTGTGACTTGAATTTGTCTTTGAGTGTCTTGATCTCAGTGTCCTGCCTCGAGATCTTCTCCTCATATAGAGTGGCCAGGATCTTGATCATCATCTCGAGATGAGCGCTGCGGAGCTCGGCTTCAGTGACCTGAGACACTTTTAGGCCCGTGGTTGTAACGCTAGCTGAGCGTGCCCGCCCGCTCGACTGCCTCGAAGATCTGCGGATGCTGAGTCGTGGACCGGAATTGCTTTTCCCAGTGATGACCATTCGAGCTTCTTTAGCCTCCGTCGCAGGGGGCTGAGTGGGAATGGTAGGGGCTGTAGCTCTGCGCCCTGAACCATGCTTCGGGTTATTTTGGTACACCTTCAGGGAAGGTCGTTTGATTTTTTGCGATCCTGAGCTCACGGTCCTTTCGATCTTTGCATTACGTCTGGTTATGGGACGAGCTTTGGGCTTGTCATGAATGTGCGAAACTTTTTCAAGCAGTTTCAATATGGCAGGAATGCTCCTGTGCTTACCTTCAGATTTTGACTTGCGTCTCTCTTCCTTCTTGTCTTTCATCTTCAGCGTTTCTTTATTGTGGTACTCAATTTCATCGTCGATGTTTATGTCTGGGACCGTATGGATAACTTCAATCTCATCAGCCTCAAATTCAACTACAAGATCTTTTTTCATTGTTCCATCAAACTTTTCATCGTTCTTTTCGTCTTCCCCTTGGTAAGTGCTGGCCCCATATGCAGCCCCTGCCTCCCCAGACGTTAGAGCAGTTGGAGTTGGAGGTTCCACCTCTTCCCCAACCTCCTCAATGCTCTGCTTTGGGGACATCACCCGCCTCTTCGACAGCCTTTTCTTCCGTGATCCCATCGGCGTGCCCGGGGTGAGCGAGGACCGACGCGAGAGATTTCTGGAGCGCGACAGCGATGGGGAGGAGCAGAGGGATGAGGCAGGGGATGAGGCACTGGATGAGGAGGCAGTGAAAGAAGAGAGGATATTGGAGGCGTAAAGAGGGGGCACCCAATAAACCAAGTCGGTCTTATTGTCGTTCATGACAGCAGCCATCGGCTTCCAGGCCCACTCCATCTTTAGCTGCGATAATAAGAAAAAAAAACTTGTAGTGTTTTCCGATAGCATCAATAGACTTATTGGCGATCGGCCTCAGCTTTAAAGGAAAGAATGTATTGACTGCAAATAAAAACATGTTTAGTTCATTGAAATTACCATAAAGAAATAAACTATTTGAAAATTAGTGGTATTGTACTCGTTGTAAAATTTCATTTATTACATTAAAATATAATATATATACAATAAATTCATCGATGTTTCTGGAGCAGTAAATTGAAAAATTATCAAAGAAATTTGGAAAAGGCGGACATGCCAGCGTAATGATGGCTAAGTAAGAATTACCATAAGCAGGAGTAGGTTTCCATTTTAAACCGCAATTAAAACGCAATTAAAATTCCTGGAACTTTATTTCAGTTGTTGCGGGACAATTAGCTTACTGTGAAATTAGCAATGGATTTCTCATTAAGGACGAAATACTTTTGTAGGGGCCGTCAGATGATGTGACCGGTACTACCTGGCGTGGTTAAAAGATATGACCGGTACTAAGCAGGTGTGGTTAAAAGTCTAATAAAAGATATGACCGGTACTAAGCTGATGTGGTTAAAAGAAATGACCGGTACCAAGCTGGTGTGGTTAAAAGAAATGACCGGTACTAAGTGGGTGTGGTTAAATGATATGGCCGGTACTAAGCTGGTGTGGTTAAAAGAAATGACCGGTACTAAGTGGGTGTGGTTAAATGATATGGCCGTTACTAACTGGTGTGGTTAATTGATAAGGACGGTATATACTAAACTGGTGTGGTTAAATGATATGGACGGTACTGAGCTGGTATGATCACTAGCACTACGGCGGTATAATCAGATGATGCAAGTGGCATAAGACGGAGTGCTCAGATAATGGGACCGGAACTTTATAAGCAGGTGTGATCAACTGATATGAACTGGTTAATGCGAATGACATTATATTATTTAGCATCACGAGTCGCTATGCAGGTGGCCCAGATTGTGTTGCACTTAACCGATTGTAAGCTGCACGGTCACCATTTAACTTTGACAACAATATTGCGTTGCTAAAACAAAGTTTTTCCTCCGGTCACATGAGTGCGAAGTTGTGAGGACGAGCATCAAGTCATACGTCGTGACAAAACTAACTATTGATGCATCTCAAAAACCGGCCTGTATATAGTAACACTGTAACACATGTATCTACACACTTACGAGCATATGCGTACTGACGAGCATTGCCTTCAATAAATGAGAATTTAGTGCTAGATTCTTCTCAATTTCATCTTACTTGACGAGTTTTTAATTTTGATGTACTCTATTATTTATTTCTTTTTAATGTTGTTACACGACACATGAACTGTTGAGAAGAGTTTCTGGAATAGCGAGTTCCTGGCCCCCAGTAAACAATTATAGACGTCTACAGCCAGCCATAGATGGATAGGCATCAATTACGCCAACGTGAAAATTATTTAAATATTCAATTTCAGGATTATTCAGTTCGTAAGTTTGGTGTGGATGCAATTATACAGTCTGTAATACTAGGGGATTTATTAATCAAGCATAAAGGGCAGTCTACCATAAATAAGCCAGTAATCTGCTAGATAAGCCGTAATTCAGCAAACTATAGAGAAAGATTAGACACACTTACGATTTAGAGCTTGTGGGACTATATGTTCAGCTTATAGGGCCGAAATGTCCCAAAAATGACATTCTTAAATAATTTGTGCATGAGCGTAACTGTTGTTTGTTTGATGTAGTGAAATACAGGGTGCGCCACTGAAACTTACTTATTTGAAAAAATTCCTGTGCGGTTAGTTGGTCGGGTAGAGGGGCTAGAGGGGGTGCATCTGAAGGGGAAAGTTCCCAAGTTTGTTTCTCAAAGTTTCTCAAATAAATTTGCTGTAGTGCAAGAATTAACTGAACGCGATTTTGTTGCCCGTCAAAATGCATGTAAAATGCTGGTTGACAACCTGCCTGAAGACGCGGTCGATTTTTTCAGTGGCGAGGCTCACTTCCACATTTCCGGCTGCGTCAACAGGCTAAACATGCGTTATTGGTGTGGTGTAAATCCACGTGAGTTTCACCAGAAGCCACTTAACTGTGAGCGAGTTACTGTCTGGTGTGCGACGTCGGTAATGGGAATCATTGGTCCTTATTTTTCTAAGAAAACGAACGCGCGGTTACCGTTAATGGAGCTCATTACAGGAACATGATCGAGGAACTTTTTCTTCCAAGACTCGAAGAAATGAACTTTAGGAACGTGTGGTTTCAGCAAGATGCAGCCACAGCACACACAGCACGAGACTCGATGAATTTGTTGCGACATCATTTCCCCGACCGCCTCATCTCTCTCAGAGGCGATCTCCAATGGCCGCCACGCTCTTCAGGTTTGACTCCATGCGATTTCTTTTTATGGGGATATTTGAAATTTCTGGTTTATGTCGATCGACCACGGACCATAGCACACCTCAAGAACAACATTCGCGACGTCATTGCCAAAATACCGATTGATATGCTGCATAGAGTGGAAACCATTGTAAAAAAGCGACTTCATTAGTTTATGCACAATGGAGGCCGTCAGTCATGAGATTTAATTTTCAAAACTGTATGAAAAAAAATTTGGGATACTGTTATCTCGAATAAAGAAAAATTTAAAACAATAACTGAAGTACTTTTGTTTTTATTGACCTTTCAAATAAGTAAGTTTCTGTGGCGCACCCTATACATTGAACAAGAGACATCGGCTTCTCATATACACAGACGACTTCAACAGATTTGAGGCTCTTTGATATCAAGATGTGCGCTGCGTATCCCGGATACGTAATGACTAATTAACAACGTTCGTTCTCGTTAGTGACCTACGAAGCGTATTCGTGTCTATCTTAACAATTATATTTATATGATGGGAATAACATTTCATCCGTTCCACACATCGAAAAATACCTGAATTCCCATACCAGAAACAATTACCTACCAACAATGCAGAGAAAAACAAAATTGAGCAAATAAGCTTTTTTTAAGTAAACAATTCATAGGAAAGCTAAAAACTTATGCTGCAGAGCCCATTACGCTTACCTGCTCCTCTAAAGCCTTGCGCTGATGTTCAGCTGCCTTCCTGGCCTTCATGCTGTTGGTGCTGCGAAACTTGAGCATCCTGAAGCAGGGAGAGCAGCTACCGTAGACTTATGCTAATGTGAGGCAATAAAGAACGGCAGCTCGCCTTGCGATACAGCAATGAAATAGAGTAAGCGGAGAGACTCCGTAGAGTTATAGCGACCTAAGCTAGCATCAGATAACTTGCGAATAATGTAGGAACTTGTGATTTTTTATATTATATAATATATAATTTTTATATAATTTATAAATCATATAGCATTCCTGGAAAGATCGAAATACAAAATTAAACAAATAATTATTATTTTCAGTCTTATGAAGCTCAAACTGTGGTCATATTTTCTGACAACAGTACGTTGAAAATATGATAACAAAGGTAGTTTTATTCTTCAGTCACATAATATAAACTTAGGTGTCACATGATCACAACAATCAACATTGATAAAATCACAGCCAATTATATATATGCGAATTTTTCGAAACGGTCCTTGAGATGGTGTAAATTTTGCGAATAGTTCAGTTGATGGTGATAATGTGCGCGGTACAGTGTTGCGTCGCGCAGCTCTGTTCGTCGTTGATACGATCTTCCTCTTTAAAAGGGGAGCGGGGCCGCCTCAAAACACCCGCCACCTTAACAACCCTTCCTCCCACACTAAATACCTCCCCTCACGAGGGACAGTGAAGCATGGTAATGATTTTTGTTGTGGGTTTTACTTTTTAATAATTCGTCGATTGAAATAAATAAGAAAATAAGGCCGTTTATTGGGGGTTGCGCTTTGTTTATGCATTTCATCGGTGAACTCAGTAGCCCGGCTGCATGTGTAACATGTCTTAAGGTGCATATAAAAATTCATGATTCTTCCCTTACGAAAATTTCGGTTCGGTATGGTAGGCTATTCTTCGGCCACCTGTAACCGGCCCGTGAGTTTTGACTGTGACCTTGGTTTGGACGAAGCTTGCATGTATAACATCCTTATAAACAATTAAAGCTTGAATTATTATTCATGCGCGTTGCATTATGCACGGGGTTTCTACTTCCCATTCATGTGACCGGACTCGTTTCTTAAAGATAAAATCATTTTAATTGAATTCTGCGTTTACGACTCTATATCCACGGCTTTATATGGTTTAGATGTAAATAATGTAACGACGACGATCATCAAGATTAAAGCCCAGTGAAGTGCCAGTTTAAGGCAAAAAATTTTTTTATCCAAAGTCCCCTAAAGACAATTTTCTCCTGTAGATCAATGCAAATCCAAGATGGCTTTCCCCGCTCCAAGCTCTGTTGTTTGGCTCGGGGATGTTGGTAGCTTGAGCAGCTCAGGAGACAAGCTCTTTCAGCGTCAAACTTCCTACAAGGAAAACTTGACGCAGGAAGAGAGAACAATGCTTGGCAGTCATCCAAATTACTGTCATTCGTTGAAAAAAATATAACTGAAAATCATTTAGAACTTTTTAGATGATATGAAACGTCAATTTTCTATTCTAAATGTGCAGAGCTCTAGCAAACTCAGTGTGAAATGTTAACAAATAATTTAAATACACACATGACAATGAAATTATTTCAAAACCTTTGCTTGAACATTGGTCCAATAATATATTCCGTCTTTCGTTTTGAATCAACTATTATGGACACTTTATTATTGGTCTCAGATAGTCGTCACAGCGGTTTCATGAATATAAACGATTGGTACAAAAAAAAAAAAAACTTTCCTCAAAATGTTCCGAGATACGAATAAGAATTCCGCTACAAATTTCGTTGTAAAGTAAAACTCGAGCGTCTTTACACCGTCTATAAACCCCCGGGAGTTGAAATGTTGTTGGAGTGTTCGATTCTGCGGCATAAGAGGCTTGACGCGAGCAGAGAGTGGATGCAAGAAGGTTGATTTTGGACAGCAAACAGCCCTTGTGGTTTACAGCCAATATCAACCATATAGCATCGAACATCTCAAACATAACTGGCAGGACATTTTTCTGGAAAATGTATACACAGGTAATATCGGTAATTTTAATCCACACTAAGCATTTAATTTATACAGATCTAAGTCATAAGAAAAAATTGGTCCAGATCTCTCCGAATTCTCGCGCAATATTGGAGCCACGCGAAAGCAACTTCGAGATGAAGCCACATTTTCTACTAAGGTATTTTTAATAGTGTATTTTGAAATCAAAATGACTAGTCAACCCACGCAAAACAGCTTTTAGCATTAGCAAACAAAAATGGTGCTGAATTGATCTGACGACTGACTATATAACCATCAGAGGTTGCGTTATTGTAAAATCAATCCGCCACTTGGGGAGCACCGTTCAGAAACAAAAGCTTCTTATCGGAGGTGCTGACTGAAGTCCAGAAGACATTCCTCGGAACACGGGCGCAAGAACGACATGTCAAACGAACTGGAAGTTCGGGCAAGGAAGAGAATAGAAATACAGCCAAGCAAACAGAACGGAAGATTATACATTGCGAAACGAAGCAGACAGGAAAGCCGGCTGAAAAAGAAAGCCTGAAAATACGGTTGTCGAAATAGACTGTCAAAGGCACGGTGAAAAACGGTTCATTCATACGGCTTAATAAACGAACTGAAACACCTTCGAACACGACGTTCGGAACATGGCAAAGAGACTTAGACAAGTTCCATCAAAGCACTGGAAATGCTTGAAAGCCTCCGAACGGAAAACACCAGAAAGATCAATCAGATCGTTGGGTTGAGGAGCACTGAAAAAAGAATAATGCTTTTATAAAAAATTTTCTATGCATAAATTGTTTTTAAGAACGATGTTATTGACTTGTACGCCGATGAATAGAAAACAATTTACTTAGAAGTGTATCACGAAAAAATTTACTAATCAATAAAAACGTTAAAGATTAAATTTCTGTTCACAAAATAAGAATCTAAACAAGTTTTATCCTATGAAAAGGTTCAATGTTTGACTAAATTTTACGCAATAAAATATAGTTTGAGTGAAATTGTCACCCAGTATTCCTAGTTATTTACCGTTCTCATTAAGACGAGACCCCTTGTGAGTGGAGATGCATGTATTATACGTATTGTTGAAAATAATCGAATCAGGAGAAAAGTGTGATGTTTTAGTTTTAGAATTGATTACACACCGAGGATGTATTAAACGCATTGTTATAACAATTTTGAGAAATTTAAACAGAAAAAAATGAAGATTTATTCCAATCAAATCGTTCAAAATAATCGCCTCTCTCTTCCGCAGGAAATCGCTGTTTCCAAATCCTTACATTTGAGATATTCGTAAAGAGCAAAGCACAATATTGTATATTTGATGCAACTCTAAAGGGAAGTCCTTCAAATATCAATAAACAAATTTCAACTCATTGAGGATGACGGCTAACGAGACAACCCATAGTAGCGCCATATGCTGTGTGCCGGGAAGATAAGAGCGTCAGGCTTCAATAACTCGATCAGATGCTCACAAACTCGCTACTCGATCTGCTGCGTTACTGCAGTGGAATGAGGAATTAGTCTTAGTTTACAAACTCTTTAAAACTATCACGCTCTCTTCAGTGTGATGCGAAAAGACACTGGAATTGTTTGGGTTCAAACAACACTGCAGCTCTCAGCCTGAGTGAACTGGAGGTGATCCTGCAGTGCATGCACGTGAATTATTAGAGAGGCAGTCGAGATTTAAGGGAATTATTGAAATACAAGGCAAAGAACGAACAATGAAGTAAGAATGATGAGGAATAATTGCTATGATAGTTTGAACAAATACATCATGAGTATTAAAGAAGAGCTAGGGATGCAATTATGGAAGAGTTAAGCGCACATATACAAGTGAAAACCAAGGGGTACAATGGAAGAGTTAAGCGCACATATATACAGATGAAGAGCTAGGGGTACAATGGAAGAGTTAAGCGTACACATACAGGTGAAGAAGTAGGGAAATTAGCGTTAGAGTAAAGGGCTTGCGATGAAATAATAGAAAAGTTTAACACCTAATAGAAGCAGAGGGAAAGAAGAAGAGTTATGAAGATTTGTCGTGCAGTACGATGAAGCATTACACGTTTGCAGGGAAATGGTTGAAACGTTAGGGGAACTGTAGAACAGTTTGTGCAGTGCTCAATTTCTGTCCTTAGGTCTGTCATGGACTTTCATAATATAGTTCGTGTTGAATCTATCCATGTGTCGTTATTTTCCCTACTGTAATCATTCGTTATTGCTAGATTGAAGAACTTTGCGTGCCATTACAGCCACTGCGGCCGAAACCTGACAAATAAATCTATCGATTTTCCTCGAAAGAGAAAGATCGAAAATAAATTTCCCCAATTTAGACTTAATCAGGATACATTGGAAGAGTTATGGGGACCACAGAAGTTATGGTACCATAGAAGAGTTATGGGTACCATAGAAGAATTATGGTACCATAGAAGAATTATGGGTACCATAGAAGAGTTATGGGTACCATAGAAGAGTTTATGGGTACCATAGAAGAGTTATGGGTACCATAGAAGAGTTATGGGTACCATAGAAGAGTTATGGGTACCATAAAAGAATTATGGCACCATAGAAGAATTATGGGTACCATAGAAGAATTATGGTACCATAGAAGAATTATGGGTACCATAGAAGAGTTAAAGGTATAGAAGAAGAGTTGAGAGAAAAGTAGAAGAGTTGAGGGTGCAGTAGAAGAGTTAAGATGTACAGTTGAAGATTAGGAGGTAGAGAAGAAGTTAGGTGAGGTGTTGGTACAGCTGGCAGCGTCAGTGCTATTTGCATCAGTGACAGCATCGTGGACCGCACAGGCAACTGCTCTGAACTATGATATGTGCGACATAATGCGAACATACTTCTTGTTCATTGTCGAACATACTTCTTGTTCATTGTCGACTGCCTATCAAATCATCTGTTTATAATACATATTCTGGTTCATTACGGATATGTCTGGATCAAAAATTAAGTTCCTAATTAATTAATTAATTAATTACCACCTAACTAAATATGCAATAACGAACCAACAATTATTACACGAAAGCCTTACTTGAGCTGGAGTGCAACCATTTAAATAATTAGTGTTATTAATTTATTAATCTATTATCGTTGTCCCTAATCCTTAACTAACCAGCAAGTAAGCGAGATACTATGAATTCACAAAAATACATAAAAACATTCGTAACCAAGAACAATTTTATTAAGTCTTATAAAAAACAACGCACCGTAGGCCTAGCTGAACACTGATTACAGTAAAAGTTTCGAGATATGCATCCAATAATCTCAGTTTCAT